CGGGGGTTTGGTGGGGATTTTATAAGGGATAAAGAAGAATGGACGGTTGGGATTTATTCTATACTGGGTCAATACGATCCGTTGGATTCGGGAAGGAGGGTTGGATCAGGAGACAGGGGTTGGTGGAGTAACATGAATAATATTGATGAAGTAAATGCGAGGATGCGGCGAGGGGGAAGCGTGTTACTGGAAGTAATAAGTGGATTGATGGCTTGTTTACAAAATCATATCATACTCCCTTCATACTTATATATATACTCCCTTTAAAAGTGGGAGTTTTTGAAAAACTTTTATTGGTCAATTTTACCCCTAATCTTTTTTAATATTAATATTCTTATCCTAATTATAATTGTTTGTCAACTAAAGCTATTAAATTAAAATTAAACTTCTAAATTAAAGCTCTCTCCATTCAATACAAAAATTGATCTAATTAGAATTGGTTGACAACTAAAAAGTATAAGGAAGCTTAAACTTCCGAATTAAAGCTCTCTCCATTCAAAACCAATTAATAAAAAAATGATCTAATTAGAATTGGTAAACAACTAAAGAGTAGAAAGAAGCTTAGAGCACATTAGCATTGTAAATATAACATGCATTGCACGTGTAAATATTAACCAATTGATTGATACCAAATTATGGAATTAGTTAATTACAAAAAAAAATTAATTGATTGAAGTATTTTTTGTAGTAGTCCCTTAAACCTTTCATATTTTGAAATTAGTCCATTAAAGCAATGAAATTATTATTGTTAGGTACCTCAATCTTAAGTTATTTGAAATTAATCATTCAAATTAATGGTATAATTAGCAATTTGAGAGACTAATTTCCCTCTAATTGCTTTTTTTACTCTTGATTGAAGAAGCTGATATAGAATTGTGGATGCAATAGCTATTTCAATGATTTGATGAATTAATTTTAAAATAATACGAATGAGCAACCTAATAGTTTAATGTGGTTATCTTTGCAAACTTATGGAGAGATTTTCTTAAATGATGATAGGTTTTCTTATTCTACAGTCATTATGGATTAAGATAGAAGATTTTTCTTCCCTTTTCTTTTTTACTTCATAAGAATTTTACGTCATCTCTTATTATTATATTTGAGGCATTGAAAAAATTAATTGCTATATAAGTGAATAATCTTTTCAAATAATGTGTAACTTACACTGCTCATGGTTTATAAGCAAATAATCTTTTCCAATAATTTGTAGCTTACATTGCTTATGGTCACAACGACACATAAAATAAAAGATGAAGGTACATAAATGTAAGTATTAAAAAAGTTCACAGATAATATTGCATCATCAGGTTGAGATTTAAAAAAAAACACTTTTACAACCAAGTTAACAAATAACCACGTGTAATGCATGTGTACCTCTCCTAGTATAAAAAAAATAAGAAACAAAACAGAACAGAGAGTCATGCGGCTGGAATACATGTTATCCTTAGGGCCTGTTTGGTTAGTTTCCCATTTATTAGAAAATACAATTTCATGTAAAGAAATTAAAGTTTTAGGTTTTTAAATTTTTTTTTAAAAATAGATTGTTTGGTTTTGATTCACACAAAAAATATGGTTAGAAACCAATGTATATATTTTTCTTATGTTTGGTTGGTATAAAAAAAAGGGACAACTTTTGTTAATTAGACATTTTCCATTTTTTTTTTATGTTTGGTTGGTATTGAAGTG